TAAAATATATGTTCAAGCCTACCAATTCCTAGGCAAAATTGGAGCCTTTATATACATATTTGAGTTATATTATTTTCATATAGAATAAATATATGCTATAGTAAAAATATAAGCTAAGATATAAATACTATTTTTATCAGAATATTCAACTATAGTAGCACTTACATAGATAAATACTTTGGCGAAGATAATATCGAAAGTAAAGATAAAATAAAATAGAAATATTCTAGAAATGGTAAAGATGCAATAGATACAATAGATGCCGAATGTGCAGTAACAAATCTGTAATACAAGACTATTCTGAAATAACTAACATTTCAAGAGTCAATGCTAGTGAAAATCGGACAAGGAGTATTGAAGATCTTGGGCAAAAATCAAGTGTAACAATACTCATGTTAGCCTTTCTCTGTTTCTATAACTGCATGAGCTGAAGTTATAATGTAAAAAGTTGTTTATATAATATTAATATGTATTTAATTTCTCTTTTTCCTTACTTCTTTTCATTTTTCTTTAAATTACATAGTCTGTTATACAACTATTTAGACAATATATTAGTTTTAAAATTTTCTTTTCTAATATAGTTTAAATAGATATCCTGGTAAACTAGCATTCAACTTATATATTATGAGAGATATGGATTCTTGTTTATAGTTATATCCCAGTATATACATATAATAAAGAACTGATATTTATCAAAAAAAAAAGATAACGCTATAATAATTTAGTTGCTAATAATATCCAAATCTTATTGGGATTACTTCAAATAATAATATTTATTGTAACTTGTTTCTAATTTACATTAAATATAGAAACCAATCTACTAAACAAAAAATTTTTTTTGTTTTATTAGTAGTATGCATTTTTATTGGTAGTTAAGCTTTATTTCTATTGGAAAAAATTAAGAAGAAGTTGAAAAAAGACACTAGAAATAATGTCTATGACAAATAAAACTACTTAATTCTTACTTGCTCTATCAGTGATAAATTTCTTTATTATTATCTGCAGCTAAACTAATCATTTAATTTTTTACCTATCTAAATACTTAAGAATATTTAAAATAGACTTATAATTGATTTTTACTGTCTAAACAGTAACTTATGTAACTTTGCACAAAGCAGATCTTATTGCCAAATGCTTTCTTAAGATAAGTATCATTAGACCAGTTTATTATTGGATTGAAATAAGATTAGAGCAAAAATCTATATAAAAGATACTATATATTAAAGAAGCAATTACCAAACTTACTTGTCAAAAATGGATACTTTATACATTTTGCAACTCCTAATGATCATTATAACATCAATCAGATAATTATTATATCATAATATCTTTTTTTAAAAATTACAATCTTAATGCCTACTGGATTATCATATAAAACAACTTCTCATGAAAAACAATACTTTTTACAAGTTATAATGCCAGATATTATATTAATTTTATTCAACCAATCTTATATAGGGTTGAACTGATATCTTGTAATTTGATCTATGGAGTACTAACCATTATGCTATGAATCCACAAGTCTATTTTTTTATAAAATATTTATTAAAAAATATTATATTTAATTATATTTATTCAAGTAATTAGTTATTTTATAAGCTATCATATATAAAAAAACATTAATAAAGTAACTTTAGATCAAATAACTTTATTTATAAAATATACTTGATATATAATTTAAATATCAAATATCAATAAAGATTTTGTATTAATTTATAGTTTATTTTTTTTAAAAAAAAAACAATAAGTTGTTTGTTAAATTATATACAATATATTATGAAATTTTTTGAAATCTTATTTAAAAATCTTAATACTTTAATAATTAATAAACTGTTTTTTAATTACAAAATATAATACTATATTTATTATTAATTTTTAAATTTATTGTATTTGTTATAAAATTTTATAATACTATATTTTTTTTATTAATTTTTAATAATGATTTTTTAAATAATTAATTTTAGTATTTTTATACCAATGTACATATATATATATATATATTCATTTAATTTTAAAATATAAGTATGAAACTTAACATCTGCTTTAATATTTAAAATGCTTAATAATAATGATGAAGTAATATTGCACAGTATTGTATTGAATGTATTCGAGTTGGCCGCATAATAAGCTAGCCGAAAATGGATATACGTTGTAACACGGGTAACTGTGACGCAATCTGCGACAAGACCGATCCCCGTGAAGTATCGCGAGATCTAACTTGGACAGAACACGTCGTAATAATGAACGGCGCACATGCAAGTGTGTATAGAAATCTATAACATAATCGAAGAAAGACTTGACTAAGCCACGTGACCCGTTTCGCTTGTCAGATAAATAATATGGTGACAAAGATGATAATCTATTATGTAATAGTTTCGCCGCGATCTATTCTTTTTTTATTTTATTTTTCTCATTGTCATTAAATTATGTAATTATTGGACTAATTGTATTAAAGATCCATCTTGTTAAATAAAAATTAAAATTTTTCGGCCATTATCAAATCCGCCTCACCCTAAATAAAATACTTACAGACAGACTCGCCGATCACCCAATACAGTAATCAAATAGAATATTACTCAACATAATTATTGATATAAAGTTATTTTTGAAGATTACTATCAATAATATTATTGTTAAAGAGAAATATGCTCTGGATTTATTCCAGAGTTCAAACTACAAGTCGAATAATTCGAGTGGTATGAGCTACTCCAAATTTAATGTACTACTGATAAAACAGGTATCCTGCCGTGTCAGTCGCAGGTCTTGGATAACGACGATATCAAAAGAGATGTGGAATTCAGCTTGTTAATTAAAACACGAATAATCGTGGATTGTATAGATGCTTTTGACATATTTATAACATACGTGAAAGAATTAGCTTGTAGCAATAATAATTTACTTAATCATTTTTCCATTTTTGGCATCAATTATCCTAATATTGTTTCTGGTTATATGATTCATGCCACAACAATATAGAAACAGAAAGCTATATTCAAATAGTTGATGGAAAAAAATCAAACCCTTGTGGCTATTAAGACTAGAGTTTTAATAGCGTTCAATATTTTTATGAAATAAACATCAATTTATGCAATATGTTATCACTTCATGGTTACACACATACCCATTTGGGTTCATATAAATTCTGAACTTTAACCTTATTCGAGACGGTACTACTGTGGTCTCTTGAATTCATATACTTTAGAAAAGAAATATCATCAAATGGAAACAGACATATTTCAATGGTATCTGAAATCTGCTGAAGGTGGAAATACTGATAGACGATGTAGTCTTGGACATCGTTATAACAATGGAATTGGAATTATAAAAGACGAAGAGAAAGTATTTCATTGGTATCTAAAATCTGCTGAAGGCAGTAATCATCAAGGACAATGTAGTCTTGGATTTTGTTATGACAATGGAATTGAAACTACAAAAGACGAAAAGAAAGCATTTTATTGGTATCTAAAATCTGCTGAAGGCGGTAATCATCAAGGACAATGTAATCTTGGATGTTGTTATGAAAATGGGATTGGAACTACAAAGGACGAAAAGAAGGCATTTCATTATTATCTAAAATCTGCTGAAGGCAGTAATCATCAAGGACAATGTAATCCTGGATTTTGTTATGAGAATGGAATTGGAACTACAAAAGACGAAGAGAAAACATTTCAATGGTATCTCAAATCTGCTGAAGGCGTTAATAATCAAGGACAGTTTAATCTTGGATTATGTTATGACAAGGGAATTGGAACTACAAAAGAAGAAAAGAAAGCGTTTCAATGGTATCTAAAATCAGCTGAAGGCGGTAATCATCAAGGACAATGTAATCTTGGATATTGTTATAAGAATGGAATTGGAAGTACAAAAGACGAAGAGAAAGTATTTTATTGGTATCTAAAATCAGCTGAAGGCGGTAATAATCACGGACAATTTAATCTTGGATTATGTTATGAGAATGAAATTGGAACTACAAAAGGCGAAGAGAAAGTATTTTATTGGTATCTAAAATCAGCTGAAGGCGGTAATCATCAAGGGCAATGTAATCTTGGATATTGTTATAAAAATGGAATTGGAACTACAAAAGACGAAGAAAAAGCATTTCAATGGTATCTAAAATCTGCTGAAGGCGGCAGTCATCAAGGACAATTTAATATTGGATGTTGTTATGAGAATGGAATTGGAAGTACAAAAGACGAAAAGAAAACATTTCATTGGTATCTAAAATCTGCTGAATGCGGTAATAATCAAGGACAATTTAATCTTGGATTTAATTATAAGAATGAAATTGGAACTATAAAAGACGAAGAGAAAGCATATCAATGGTATCTAAAATCAGCTGAAGGTGGAAATACTGATGGACAATGTATACTTGGATTTTGTTATGAGAATGGAATAGGAACTACAAAAGATGAAGAGAAAGCATTTCAATGGTATCTAAAATCTGCTGAAGGCGGTAATAATCAAGGACAATGTAGTCTTGGATTTAATTATAAGAATGGAATTGGAACTACAAAAGACGAAGAGAAATCATTTCATTGGTATCTAAAATCTGCTGAAGGCGGTAATCATCAAGGGCAATGTAATCTTGGATATTGTTATAATAATGGGATTGGAAATACAAAAGACGAAGAGAAATCATATCAATGGTATCTAAAATCAGCTGAAGGTGGAAATACTGATGGACAATGTATACTTGGATTTTGTTATGAAAATGGAATTGGAACTATAAAAGACGAAAAGAAAATATTTTATTGGAATCTAAAATATGCTGAAGGCGGTAATAATCAAGGACAATGTAATCTTGGATGTTGTTATGAAAATGGGATTGGAACTACAAAGGAAGAAAAGAAAGTATTTTATTGGTATCTAAAATCAGTTGAAGGTGGTAACCATCAAGGACAAAATAAACTTGGATTTTGTTATGAGAATGGGATTGAAACTATAAAAGACAAAGTTAAAGTATTTCATTGGTATCTAAAATCTGCTGAAGGCGTTAATAATCAAGGACAATTTAATCTTGGATTATGCTATGCGGATGGAATTGGAACTACAAAAGACGAAAAGAAAACATTTTATTGGTATCTAAAATCAGCTGAAGGTGGTAACCATCAAGGACAAAATGATCTTGGATTTTGTTATGAGAATGCGATTGGAACTATAAAAGACAAAGTTAAAGCATTTCAATGGTATCTAAAATCTGCTGAAGGCGGTAATCATCCAGGGCAACGTAGTCTTGGATATTGTTATGAAGAAGGAATTAAAACTACAAAAGACGAAGAGAAAGCATTCCATTGGTATCTAAAGTCTGATGAAGGCGGTAAAAATCGAGGACAATGTAATCTTGAATTTTATTATGACAATGGAATTGGAACTTCAAAAGATGAAGAGAAAGCATTTCAATGGTATCTAAAATCTGCTGAAGGCGTTAATAATCAAGGACAATTTAATCTTGGATTTAATTATAAGAATGGAATTGGAACTACAAAAGACGAAGAGAAAGTATTTCATTGGTATCTAAAATCTGCTGAAGGGGGAAATACTGATGGACAATGTAATCTTGGATTTTGTTATGAGAATGGAATAGGAACTACAAAAGACGAAGAGAAAGCGTTTCAATGGTATCTAAAATCTGCTGAAGGCGGTAATCATCAAGGGCAACGTAGTCTTGGATATTGTTATGAGGAAGGAATTGGAACTACAAAAGATGAAGAGAAAGCATTTCATTGGTATCTAAAATCTGCTGAAGGCGGTAATAATCAAGGACAATTTAATCTTGGATTTTGTTATATGAATGGAATTGGAACTATAAAAGACGAAGAGAAAACTTTTCATTGGTATCTAAAATCTGCTGAAGACGGAAATACTGATGGACAATGTAATATTGGATGTTGTTACGAGAATGGAATTGGAACTACAAAAGAAGAAAAGAAAGCATTTCAATGGTATCTAAAATCTGCTGAAGGCGGTAATAATCAAGGACAATGTAATCTTGGATTTTGTTATGAGAATGGAATTGGAACTACAAAAGATGAAGAGAAAGCATTTCATTGGTATCTAAAATCTGCTGAAGGTGGTAATCATCAAGGACAATGTAATCTTGGATTTTGTTATGACAATGGAATTGGAACTACAAAAGATGAAGAGAAAACATTTCATTGGTATCTAAAATCTGCTGAAGGCGGTAATAATCAAGGACAATTTAATCTTGGACTTTGTTATGAAAATGGAATTGGAACTACACAAGACGAAGAGAAAGCATTTCAATGGTATCTTAAATCTGCTGAAGGTGGTAATCATCAAGGACAATTTAATCTTGGATATTGTTATGAGCATGGAATTGGAACTACTAAAGAAGAAGAGAAAACATTTCATTGGTATCTAAAATCTGCTGAAGGTGGTAATAATGGAGGACAAAATAATCTTGGATTTTGTTATGACAATGGAATTGGAACTATAAAAGACGAAGAGAAAGCATTTCATTGGTATCTAAAATCAGCCGAAGGCGGAGATAATGTTGGCCAGTATAATCTCGGGAATTGTTATGAGTACGGATCTGGGGTATCGAAGTGTGACAAAAAGGCATACCATTGGTACTTAAAATCAGCTAGAAACGGAAGACAATGGATTCCATATTCGCAATTTCGAAATGTCGAATATATAAATAGAGGGGGATTTGGTAATATTTATAAAGCTACTTGGGCCAGTGAATCGGAAAAAGGCGTTAAAATTGCACTCAAGAGCCTTAATAAAAAACCCCCTGGAAACATAACTATTGGACTTTTAAAAGAGGTTTGTTTCAATCAGATTTTTTAATTGCCAATTAACCATTAATGCAACGATGTTATGTTCGATTCTAGTTTGTATTAAATAATATAGTGAGTGATTGTGAATTTATCATTCGATGTTTTGGGATCACAGAAGATCCTAGTACGAATTCCTACATGATAATAACAGAATATGCAGAAAATGGAAGCTTATATCAATATTTATCAGAGAATTTTGAAAGGATTACATGGAGAGAAAAATTAGAACAGTTATGTTGCATTGCAAAAGGGTAAATATTTAGACATCCTGTTATCATCGTCGGGTTTATTAATAATATTTATTTTTTATATAGGCTTATAGAAATTCATGCACGGGGATTAATTCATTGTGACATTCATTCGGGAAATATTTTATTGGGAGCAGGCGGAATTTCGCGATCAATTAAGATAGCAGATTTCGGTTTATGCAGAACTATTTCATCCCCTATATCTAAAAATATTTATGGTGTGATACCTTACATAGCACCTGAACTTTTTCTAAAAAAGTCATTTACCAGGGAATCTGACGTATACAGCTTCGGAATGATAATGTGGGAGTTTACATCAGGTCATAGACCATTTAATAATAAAAAACACGATTGTTTTCTTGAGCTCGGAATTATTAATGGATTGCGACCAGAAATTACCGAAGACACGCCAACCGTTTTTGCAGACATGATAAAAAAATGTTGGGGTCATAATCCATCTGATCGGCCAAGAATGAATGATATTGAAAAACAATTTAAAGAGTGGCTTTCGAACAAAGAGTACGAAAAGGATTTTATTTTTTCTGAAGAATGTCGGAAAAGGTTAATTGAAAAAAGAAGAATACTTGATACACACTCAGGAGCATACTATACGAGTAGGCTTTTGGATCCAACAATTCAAGAATTATCAGAAGGTATTAAATTTCTTTTATTACTTCTACGGTATATTAAATGCTAAAATTTTAACAAAAATAATTTGTTTGTAGTTGTTGAATACGATTCTATAGAAAATAGATATACAATATCGAGATAATTGTCGTTTAAGAAACAACCATTGTCTTTTCAATCTCGGGACTATTATACACAGTTATTAAAAGATTTACACATTGTATACTGTATTGAATTAGTCATAATAAAATTATTATTACAGTATCTTTATACAGATAATCAGTCGCCTCTTCTGCATCACGGCTTAGCTCAATATTGCTTGGGTTTGAATATGGTACTTTTTATAGGCTAATTTACGTAAATATTTAAATGTCTCATTAAGTTACCCAACTATTAATTAGTTAATAACTGATTACAGTGATGTAAAAACACACTTACCCATCGTGTACGGTTTAATTAATATATTTCCTTCATTTATTTGGGTTATGATATATAATATTATACAGTATATACTGCAAAAATTTTTTAGTAAAACAAAAATTTAAAATTACTTTGTTTTTTTGACGAAAAATCCATAGAGAATTTAAGGAGGTTAATGAATTTTCTATACTGTGTTTTTGATAAATTCGTAACTGGTAATATAATAAATTAGTAGCAAACTTTATACGTTTTTAGTGTTTAATGTAAAACGCTTACTTACGTATCTTTCTTATTATCAAAAGAATATAAGTTAAATTAGTGATTTTGTTTTAATAAACGATGATTACCTACTTAATGATGATTCTAAACTTAAAGCTAAATTTAAAGTGCATCTTGTAGTTTTTATAATGTGATCCAATGATTAATTAAAAAGTTTACCGCAATTTCTAGTTTATTTGCGAACTTGTTGGATTTTTTTCTCATTGTTTATTTTCTTCGCATCATAAAATGCATCAAATTTCCATTCCGGAAAATTTATTGCTGTATTTATTTATTTTATTTGATGGTCTCTGAATGTCAACACTTTTACATTAACTAGCCTAGAACGCCAATGCATCTTCCATGGTCTCAGGACGTAGCCCGCAACATACTGCATATTGTGACGGTCAATCGGCGAGTCTGTCGCTAAAATGGGCAGAATGTCGCGTAACCGTCGATGAGGTAAGGGACCTTAGCGAAATTTTTAGGCGTGTTCGATTTGCTGAGTAAAAGATAGATCAATCAATCAATGTTCTTTATTTATTTTTTACTTCCCTCTTTTTACACATCTTAGCTGGGACGGTTTTTACATTCTGAAAAATAAAGGTGACATCGATTATCTAATGTCTTCTCTCATGATTCTCCCTGATTACATAATGCTCGGTCACAATTATTTTATATTACCTAATCGTTTTCACGATCCTCCCCTCATTACCTAACTCTCTAACACGCTATTCTGCTGCCATTTTAACCATTTCCCATCATTTTCGCTTACATTTTCCCTCCATACCGTCTTGAGTACCATGATCGGAACGGTCCTTCGCAGCACTATCGCGACGGTCAGTCACGTGACTGGCGTCGCGTCACGATTTTTACCCTCTGACAATATTCAAAGCAAGATTGGCATATGTTCTCAATCTTAAAAAGGACGTGAGCTCACATATAATCATGCCTAAACTATAAATATCGATAAAGCAGATACCTCGTCTAATATATATTCCAATTGTTCAATAGTATCGATATATTCGTTTTGCAAGAGTGAAGAATAATTTTTGGTTTATAAGGGTAATGTACCTTCGCTTAAATATATATTAGTTAGCATTACATTAAAGTTTCTAAATATCAAAATGTGTATAATTAATTTTCGTACCTTTCCTGAAAAACCCAATATAAAAAATATCTACAAATATTTGACAGATTATTGAAAATAGAACGAATAAAATAACTCATGATAAAATTTGAGAGATTTTTATGCAGGAATTGCTATTATACAATTTGTTATTAAGACTCAATTAAAATTTAAATTGCATTGTTCAATTACGAGTAAGAAGAGGTTTCTATATTACTTATCAAATGTTGATCGTTAATCTGATGGTCGAATAGATCGACTTCACAGCGTAATAATTACGTGAATATTTACTCGTCACCGAGAAAATCAGATCGATTATCATAATCACATCAGTATTTCATTGGCAATTTGTTTTCGTGTTTTATAAGCATTTGTTTACTCTCTTTTCGCGTCACTTTTTGTAACCAACACTTATTTAAGTTCGTGTCAGATCAGTTTTATGAGATAATCACTACTATCTTCTTTCCGTTCGCAAATATATAAAACATAAATTTAATTGTTCTTAATTACCCTAAAAGTCTTCATTTTCCAGAACCAGAACTTTGAATTATTGTTAGGCGATGTGAAGTAATAACAATATAGAGCAACGCATTCGTTTGTTTGTTTACTAGTCATCATCTTACTTGTTACCTAAATTAAAGAGAATACCTTATTTCAAGTTATGAATAATAAACGTAACATTATTTCCAACATACTCGGAAGTGTCGCTTTGATTGTATTTCTCGATTGATTCCGAATATTTCGACAAAATTGGAAAAATCATTCTGGCATTCGTCCTCGAAAAAGTCGGCATCAATTATAACATACCTGAAAGTAAAACATTAATTGGATTGTCATCATCAATTCCAAATAGCTGTACTAATCTTTCAAAGCTTTTGTTCACATGAAGGGTAAAGGCAGTGGCATCGCAAGGTATTTCTACTGATTGTTTCGTCTTGATTGTTTCAAGAAGGTCAACAAAGTCAGTGCCCGGAAGGTTAGTAACTTTGTTCGCGTGACGGCCCTCAACTTGAAATCAGATAGGAGTCTTTAAAGTGTAGCTCATTCTTGTAATCAATAATATACAGTACGCATTGTTACGTGTTGTTATTTTACGTATTTTAAGCTGCAGACTGAGTGATCTACACTGACTTATTCTGAGGCTTCCTACATTAGCACTAGCCTACCATTTTGAAAATTTTAATCTTACGTAAATATTTTACAATTAGTGAATTAAGCCTCAATTAGAAGACAAATTCAGTGTTCAACGGTTCATAAGATTATCTTTACATAAAAGCCGAGGAACCCTTTCTCTTACATTAAAATGGTTTTGGTGTTCCAGATTAATATGTCTTGATATTTATTTCAAATATATATATATTGTATATATATATTTCTGAGCCTTTTTCCAAGATCCAAAAAATGATCTTTAATAAACTTCTTTGATTTTTTATATAATTAAATATAAAAATAATAAAAAATTTTGTATTACATTAAGTATCTTTATCTCCAGTTAAGGTCTGGAGATTACAAAGTTTGACCCGACTGTACGTATTTGTTAAATCAGAATCCTCATAATCCGATAAAGCTTTATCAGATTTCTCACATTCTATGGTTATTCGGGTTTGTTTTTTTTCATAAAAATCCAACCAACATTTATACAAAGTAGTATGCAGCTGATCTGCTTTTGGCCGTGCGTGAGGATCTGACTTCCAACAATCCTTAATTACTTCTTTAATAAATTCTGGTATGTTTTCCGGAAGCTCTGGTCTCTGACCTTGTATTACTTTCTCCATAAGACTAAAGTCGTGTGAAGTATTACCAAACGGACATTTTCCTGATGCTATTTCACACAAAAGAACACCAAATGCGTACACATCTGCCTCTTGTGTATATCCTTCTCCTTTCAGTACTTCCGGTGCAAGGTATGGCATAACCCCCTTTTTATCGTTTTTCTCCTTTTTGTTAGCCGGTCTGCACAATCCTAGATCGCAAATCTGAGCGTGGTTGGTATCTACCCAAGTTAAACCCTTCGGGTACTTAGTTTGAACCCACTCATTATTGTTCAAGTTAATCAAAATATTGCCTGGATGGATATCATGATGAATCAATCCAGCTTTATGAATGCGCTCAAGACCACCTGTAATGTGGATTATAATGTATAATTTCGTGCTCCAGTCCATAAGTTTTGTTCATTCATATATGTTCGAAGGGATCCTGATGAGGCATAGGATAGAACAATTCCAAATTTATTCGTTTCGGGGTTTTTTGTGATTCCATAACATTTCGTAACGTAAGCATCTTCTGCCAATTTATGGTGAGCATCCATCTAAAAATATATTTATATAAATTAACAATAAAACACAAATTTACTACATTTGAATTTATATTTTATAGTAACTTACTTCCTGAAAAAATTCTTCATCAAGCTTTTCTGAATCCCACAAAGTTTTTATCGCTACTCTTTTCTTATCAAATCTGTCCCAATCTTTAGTATCATTATTCCAACAGACAATCCTTCCATCTAACCATTCAGCGGAGGACACAGATCCATATCCTCCTTTTGCGACAAAATCAACATTTTGAAACCGATCGTACGGAATAAACTCCAATACTTGATGAAAGTTAGTCGCATTCATCTGTTTTTTGAGTATAAACTTGTCGATTTCATCATTTCCACTCTTCCATTTACTAAGATATTGGTCTTGGAAATGTCGTTCATTACATGGCTTGCACCAACGGTAAGATATATTTGGTTTGTTGCATTCAATACATATACCATTATCTTTAGTGGTGTTCATTACGTATAATATACGTATGAATGAGATGGCAAATTTCGTGGGAAAAAATTACACACATACATATACTGTATGCACTGTAGGTACAGGTACACAACTTACATTTTTTAAAAGTTTGTGTATCAAGTACGTATACTGTATATAATCTTATTCACTTTACCTTTCCATTCAAAGCTAACAAAATGGAGCAGCATTCTATTTCTGATGGTCTTAGGTATTTAGCCAAAACTGCTGCTAAACATATGTTTATCGAAGTAATTAATGTTATTCCATTCATCTGAAATGTTGCAGCTAAAATCACTCAAGATATTATGGAACTAGTCGAAAATGACGAACGTAATAAAGAAGCATTCAAAAGTATTTCTGATCGTGTAAAAAATAGTTTGAGAGAAATTGCCAAGTTTGAATTGCAAGGTAGTACTGTATCAATGAATCCAAAGAAACATATAAAGAGATATTAAATAACATAAAAGCACTTGTGATTGAAATTAAGAAAACCCGGAAGTTATAGCAAGAAGGCAAAAAAAAATTTCAAGGAATTATGCAACGCAAATAATGTAAGATCTTATAGGAATGTTGTCAAAAAATTCTATAACTAAAAATTGATAAATTTTTTTTTAAATATTAAAGAAGCAAACGAAAAATTGCTCCAAAGACTGGATGACGCCACTAAAAATTTTTATCATAATGTACTTCTTGATGTTGATACTAAACTTGATAAAAATACTGAACAACTTAATAAGAATACTGAACAAAAGAGTCTTGCTCTTCAAGTCTTGCATGCACGAAACAATGATAGTTCGGCGGAAAACATGAAAGAATTAAATATTAATCCAATGGATATTAAAAAATCCGGAAACGATAAAATTACTATCAATATACAAAAAGCGGAATACATTGGGGATAAAGTCGCAGTAAAAAAGGTACCGTATTATGAAAAAGAATTTAAGAAAATCTCTAAACATGCAAGAATTGCCAAGTTGATTAGTGCTTGTGATAATATTGAAAAATTGTGGGTATTTGTGACCCTTTATATTCAACTTGTTTATTCTAATGTTAGCTGCAATTGATCAATTTATTTCATATAGCTACGGCACCTATGTTGAAAATATAAATGGTGTAATATGGCGTTTTGTAGTTACTACATGGATGCAAAATGTGAATATTTGGTGTCGTGGGTAAAAAGAGGGGGTACGATAACGCGGTACACATTACGTTACGTAATTAGTGTGTTTATGGGAGAAACGGCGGGAAAGTAATGGTGGGAAAATTAGAATAGAGTATCTTATGTAATCATGCGGCGCAAAGTGATTAGCATGTAAACAAACAGACCTGTATAAATATGACCACTGAACGAAGAGAAATAAAGGCAATTAGCATTTAGGTAACATTTACCCAAAAACCCACTTTGAAACGTCAAACTCTTACCTGTGTTAACCATTTCTGTCGTTGTTTACACGCCCATAACTTGCTCACGTGACTATACGAACCAGAGTTTGACTAGAAAGATTGGGAAAATTCTAGCAACTATAAAAGTTCGAGTATAGGACGGAAGGTGTAAAGTTAGGAAGCGAAACAAAGTCGGTCAAATCGTGACACGCCTCAAGGATTTAAACCCAACGTTACACGAAGTTTACCAGTCATTGGCGACAGACTCGCCGGTTAGCCCACGACATTAGATAAGAACGAATCAATTCAATGGAAAGATAAACTTAAAATTGCGGAACAAATTGCCAAGGGACTTACTTTTTGTGATAAATATGGAGTATATCATCGAGATGTCAGATGGTAAATAAATTTTATTCGCTTTATATAAATACTATCTTTGTAACAAAAATTTTTTTGCTTTAGCAAGAATGTATTGTTGATGAAAATTTAAATGCAAAGCTTGCCAATTTTGAGATGTGCCGAAATTTTGGAGAAGGAACGAGTGAAATGACATCCGAAACGCTAAGGTTGCACACTTTTTTGGTATTTTTTTGTCATAGAATTTCTATTTATTGAATATATTGGCAAATTTAGATGGACCGCGCCGGAAAAACTCAAATTTCCAGAACTGCCATACACTGATAAATGTGAAGTATTTACTGTAGGTACGGAGCAATAAAAAAGAAATGTACATACTTCCTGAAAAGCTATCTAACAAATTTAAATTTAAGTTTTGCCGTCTTACTCTGGGAAATTTCAGCACAACAAATTCCATTCAGTGACTTGAATGATCATGTAGCAAGCGAAAAGATTAAAAAAGGTGAACGTTTCAGAACACACGACAGAACGATATAAAGAGCTAGTTGCGCGGGCCTGGGACGAAGATCATAACAATCGTCCAAAAATTGATTACCTACGAGATCAACTTGAAAAGATGAAAACGGATGAATTACATCCAAATGATTCTAAAGCTTCTTTTTCTTCCGTTTCACCTATAAAAAAATACGCATTAAATGACGTGAAAAATGAGCAATCACTACCTATTGATCAAGTAATCTCACTCCACAAAGCAGGGTTATACAAAAAAGTTTTCCCACAATTCGAGCAGCTGGCACTAAATGATAACCCTTTAGCCTTATATTATACAGGTTTATATCTTTACGAAGGAACTTATGGCATCAAAAAAGATGAAATTCGAGCCTTACAATTATTTCTAAAATCTACTAATTATGGTGAAGTACAAGGCCAATACATGTATGTTTATTCCCGTCTCAAAGGGTCTTACTATTATAAAGAAGAAGGGATAAAATATCTTCGAAAAGCAGTGGACAAGGATACATGGTTTCTCAAATTTATCTAAATTAACGAAAATAAGAATAAAAAGTATTTAAAGAAGGCAGCTGACAATGGGTCAATGGAAGCACTAAAAGAACTCGAACATTGATCACGTAATGTTCTCTGTTTTCTTTCTTTCTTTCTTTCTTTTTATTGCAGGTTTTTCAGGGAGAAAAGTTGATTTCTTTTTTTATCTTTATCTTTATTTATTTATTTATTATTTATTTATTTAACTGACCCTTTAAAAAGAAAAATATGAACTTTTTCGGAAGCGATTACAATATATACGTGTATAGAAGAAAAAAACCTCGCGAAAAATGATAATAATAATGTTTACTAACTAACATATTATCGAAATAATTTTAAAAACAAGCCCCATAAATATAAAACTTGCGTATTCGTTAAATTCTCTCACGTTAATATATCCCTTTCTGACGAAATGTTGGTGCTCGACATACACGAATTAATTTTCACAATTAGATGTTGACACCTAGCAAACTTTCCTGATATTAAAAATCATCATAAACAACCGCTGGTATCATTCAATCAAGGACCTTTGGAAAAAATTTGATGAACCTTAGGAAAAAGGTGTAAATGAAGGTGGATCCAGATAAAGTAATGCAGGGTCAATGACACCGAATTCTAAAGAATTGGAATAATATAATGGTTCAAAGCCTAAAAGGGATGACTGATTTATATAGGGCGGATTTTCGTTGGTAATATTGTCGGATCAACTGATTCCATGTATAACATACAATATTTGCTCCTGATGGATCCGAAGAAAGCAAGCTTGGGTCAATTATGTCATAATTAAGCCCTGAGAGATTTGGATTAAAATCGGTCTCAAACGTAAACGACTGCTCTACGGGCCTTACGTATTATCAAAAGGTACTGTGAATTGAAGAACATTGAGAGATATGATGTCATCATATGTTGTAAACTCGGGATGTGCATTAAGTCCCGTGAACTGTTGATCCCAATACAGTACAGTATTTGCTCTCTGAAGTGGATACAGAATTTTTGCGAGAGCTGCTATTGATTGTTGAAGAAATTGTCTCAAAAAAGCATCCAGAGTTATATTGCTTATCAGCTTTGCGTGATGAGTTTGAGTATGGAGTGGTTCGATTAATAATCTCTTGCCCGTTTCGAACACTAACTGCTGATGATCGAGCAGTAGGTCTATGTGTAGACTTGGTAATTGAAGATGAAGGAATAACTGGTTCAGATGAGGTGTTCAAATGCTGACTTGGAATGATGGGAGGATCGACGAAAGTCTGCTTCGTAATATTTGCAAATTTTGAATTTTTAAAGACGTAAGGAGCAGTCTTCTCTCTGAGACTTTCTTTTTTTCTTTCTTTCATTATCAGCAGTAACAATTCTTCTTTCTGGGCAATGTTTATAATTTGGATAATAGCAAGAATACAATTTCTTGCAGACTCCCGCTAAATCCATCCAAAATTTTTTTTCATTACCAGAAATTTCATTCCATCTATTCGACGCAATAATGGAAGAATCTCCGACTGATAAAGACTGATTGGCTTTGTAAAACTCTTTTGACACGTCCTTTCGAAAAAGCATGAAAGCATTTTGTGGACGTGGAATGCTTTTAGTTCTATTCATTTTGGATGGTGTCCACAATTCGCAAAGGTTCAAAGTGGTTTTAATATTAGGGTGTTTGTTAATAATATATCCGATCATTGTTCGAATTTCATCGGCCTCACAACTAAGATCAATGATTTTTTCTTGGTCGCCAACAAATATTTTATTTGATTCTCTTAAATCTTCCGAAATGTGAACATTGATAGATGGAACCTTTTCTTGTCGAAATAATTGTTGATTCATGTTTCTTCCAGTAATATGGGATATCTTTTTTTTGGACGAAAGAAACTTTTTCGTGTATTTTATAAAAATCCTGTAAAACAATATCAAGTTTAAAAAAATATAAACTTTAGTATGTTAATTAAATATCTCTGCCGTTTATTTGTTCTTTTCAATTAAAATAGGCTTATTGAAATCATAACAATATGTTTTAGAAAAAGATAATACCGCGTAAATATTGCATATTTCTAAAGACACGACAGGAGGTAACTAATTATCTATTTTTAATAGTGAAGTACCATAGGAATAAATAAGCTTAAAGTTGAACATAAAATAATTTTTGTATAATATTCATTTGCACATACCTACAATGTCAGAATTTAACAAAGATCACTAATGTTTTCCCATTAAAATTTACGTTGTATGCATATTAATTGAATTTTATGCTACGTAATTATTAAACAAACATATACCAAATATAAGTTTTTTACAATGAATATTTATTATACGATCGAAATGACTTTGGCAATCTAATATCAGAGTTCTAAATAAATTTAACAAACACTCCTATCGTTAACTAATAATACAATAATAAAACATACTGCTAAAGAGTACTAATGCGTGAAATTATATGGTATAAATAAATCCTAATTAAAAAATAACTCCATGTTTTACAAAATATTATTTATTCGTGTTAATTTTGCTGCGCCTCAAAAGGATGCAAAAAGAAAAAAAATGAACACATACTTTACTCAAAGACTCGCAATTGGAACTATTGGCATCTGTAGTATGAGACCTTATAAAGAAATAGAATGGATTACGAAATTGAACAATTACACTTAGGGATCAATCATTTCTTTGAATTATGCAAGCGGATGAAAAAATTAACGAATAACACGTGAGCGGAAAAACATGTCATATGATAACACGTATACAGTTTATATCGTAATACAATATGGTTAACTCTCGATAAAAAAAATTGTGTACAAATACTGTAGCTTACAGTGTATACTAAAGTGTTCAGAAATCTGCGGTAGCAGAATTTGCGCAGAATTCTGCATAAGGTGAAGTTCTGCCTGCTAAGCAGAAAAGCAGAATCCGTAAAATCAATTATTTGTACTAGTCTAAAATTGAAAATCAATTAATATTATTTCGGTTTATAAGTATTTAAAAAAAAAAGTATGTTTTCTTACCTCTATCCAAAAATGGCTATTACAAGCAATAGATTACAAGGTTCATTTTCTACATTAGAATATTGTTACGGGGAAATCGGCGAGTCCGTCACTATGTCGGGTCTCTGCTCGCGTCATATCCCACGAAAGATAAAATAAACTAAAGGCTTTAACTCCTGAGGTGTTTTCAACTTTGCTGGCGTAACTTTGTCCAATCAGTGAACTACTCTTGAACCCTGCGTCTTGCCAATCCCTCTGGCAAATCCGATTCTATCTTGTTCGTGTGATGCAAGTTACAGACAACTCGGGTATTAATCAGTCACTCGAAAAGTTTAAACTTTATCTTTATCTTTATTATTTTTTGGAGGCACGTGTGTCAAGTACAAGATTATAATCTGATCTACAAATCTTAACTTAATTGTTTTATTTATTTATTTTTATTATTATTTTTTTTTATAGTCGAATGGCATTAGATGTGGGTTTTTATTGAATAACTTCAATTTTTGGTACATCAAACATCCTCTATTACATTGTAACAGCTAAATGCTAGCCTATCTACTTCATACCTGATGACATGCTGTTCACTCTTGAAGTGTGTCACATTGTTTTCAGGAGGACTATCTAGAGGGTGAAAATCCTACCACTAGTTTTAAACCACCATACCTACTAGTTCAACTATGTGTAGGAACAATGAACCTGCTAACTATTTTAAGTTATCTATTACATTATACCTTTTCGCTTACACAGCTATGATTTCAGAAAGTGTTTTTCTTGAACTTGCCTTAGTACTGCCATGAGGATGACCATATGTTAATGTCAGTACAGTGCTCTTCTTCAAGGCTTTTTACTCTTGATCGTTGGCAGGAAAGGATCTGTAGCTTGGAATTGGCTAAAATGGAGTACAGTCCATTCTGTACTTTCAAATATGTGGATGGATTTCAGCTACATCAACAATTATTGTGCTACCATCTTGACAATTGTCATATTACTACATCTTATCTTTCTATTTATACTTTTTACTTTATATTATATTTAATATACTTATCTTTATACTTACCTTTATACTTTCTTATAATCTACCCATTACTTTTTTTCTATAACAATAACAACAAGCATTTTATGTAGAAAATAATCTTTTAAAATATTGTTCTTGTCAAATAACTTTAAATAATCAAAAAAAATTAATACTTAATAATCATTTTATTTTATTAAAACATTGAAATATAAAAGAACAGCAATATAATATCATAAATAATTCTTTATAACAAAATTTAAATATTTTATCTGAAGAAAAACAACAAAATTTAAATCTTGTACAAACATTAATTGCTGCTAATATATTTCTTGGAAAATTTAATAAATTAAAAATTTTTTTATAAAAAAGATAATAATAATAATTTTTTTAAGTAACACTATTGCTGGTGCTAATTAACTTTGTGAAAAGTATTTATTAATATTATATAAATTAAAAGTAAATAAGTCAAAAAAAATATTAATAAACCAATAAATTTGTATTACAATTGATGAAACAACAGATATATATAGTAAAATATTTGTAAATATCCTTTTTAGTTTTGAAAATCAAACAAAATTAATTGTAACCAAATATTTTAAAAAAGTAAATAACTTTATTATTTCTCAATTTATTATGACTATTCTTTAATCATATAATATTTCTTATAAAAATATTATATTTTATATTTTTAATAATACAAGTTATATAATTAATTTAAAATTTGAAACTTTTTTTTCATAACATGTATCATAATACATATTTGGTATATATTTACAAGTTGATAAAAAAGATGTGATTAAATTATTCACATATTAAATTATTAAATAATACTATATCTTTTATTAAAACTTCATTTATTTATTATTTAGTTCATAAATATAAATAGATTAATTATTTTTCTTCAAATACAAATATTTTACCTCCTTTATCTATAAAAACAAGATAAAACTTTTTATTTAAATTTATTTTTTAAATTAATCAAAATATTTCTTTTTTTGTTACTTTTATTAATAAGAAGAAAAGATCAAAAATAATATAATAATTAAAAAATTAACTAAAATTTTTTATAACAATATTCAAATTCTTAATCTTAAAATTTTATTCTTATTTTAAGTTACGCAAAATCACCCACCCAGATAAACACCAAAACAACCACAACACGTCAACAAGTAACAACACGTTAACAAG